CTCCTTCTCTTTCTCTCCCTTCCACCCTCCTCTTTCTCTTTCTCTCCCTTCCACCCTCCTCTCCTTCTCTTTCTCTCCCTTCCACCCTCCTCCTTCTCTTTCTCTCCCTTCCCCCCTCCTCTTCTTCTCTTTCTCTCCCTTCCCCCCTCCTCTCCTTCTCTTTCTCTCCCTTCCACCCTCCTCTCCTTCTCTTTCTCTCCCTTCCACCCTCCTCTCCTTCTCTTTCTCTCCCTTCCACCCTCCTCTCCTTCTCTTTCTCTTCCTTCCACTCACCTCTCCTTCTCTTTCTCTCCCTTCCACCCTCCTCCTTCTCTTTCTCTCCCTTCCACCCTCCTCTCCTTCTCTTTCTCTTCCTTCCCCCACCTCTCCTTACCTCTTTCTTCTTCCCTTACCTCTCCTCCACTCTTCCTTTCCTACTATCTCTCCTTTTCTTTCTCTCCCTTCCACCCTCTTCTCCTTTGTTGTTTATTTTTAACTAGCTGTTAACCCGGCATTGCGCTGGTATTCGTTTATTTCAATCCTGTATTACACATTCAGAAATGTCTAAATATTAAAAAAAAACCTTTTGAGTACTATTTAAAAATCTTTTGTAAAAATCTTTTGAATGCTATTTAAAATATGTCACTAAAAGGAGTGACGTATAAAGAGTGAACTTGGAAAAGGAGAATTTGCATTTTAAAAACCTATGTCGGACCAAGGTAACTGACCAGGGGGGAAAATAGTAAGGATTATATTGTGTTTAAAAAAGATTAAGCAGTTTTACATTAAGAGCTAGGAAAATTAAGGAGGATATTGAAAAAGCCCAGAATTATTACTGTGGTGCCAAGTGGCTGGGCAGCTGGGATGCTGGAGAATGCTGGGAGATCCAATGAAACAACATTACGAAGGCCACAGATTGCCCAATGATATGGAGCAGTTTTCAAGGTGACAGTTTGCAAGATAGGAGCCTTTCTCTGAACTGCAGACGCTTGATTATTTTGGTTTTTCCAGAAGGAAATAGATAGTAGGTTATCTTGGTTTTTGACTTGGCAGGGATCAGGTTTTAAAATCATTTTGCCTCCTCCAGTTTCTTGCCTTGCCTTGCCTTGAGAAAGTGTGAGCCTTGTCCCAAAAGGTTACATCGATGTTCTTGGCAATATCAAGTCATTAATATTTGAACATTTGAGGGCAAATACTTTACCTGGGGATGCGGTGGCTCAGTGGCTAAGACGCTGAGCTTGTCAATCAGAAAGGTCGGCAGTTAAGCGGTTCGAATCCCTAGCGCCGCATAATGGAGTGAGCTCCCGTTACTTGTCCCAGCTTCTGCCAATCTAGCAGTTCAAAAGCACGTAAAAATGCAAGTAGAAAAATAGGAACCACCTTTGGTGGGAAGGTAACAGCGTTCCGTGCGCCTTTGGCATTGAGTCATGCCGGCCACATGACCACGGAGACGTCTTCAGACAGCGCTGGCTCTTCGGCTTTGAAACAGAGATGAGCACCGCCCCCTAGAGTGCACATATGACTAGCACATATGTGCGAGTT